TAACGTTTATCTGCCGCATCTGAACTGCGCATGTACACGAAAATCCTTTATCCTGTTAGAACCAATGAAATTGTTTAGAGAGTATAATGTGTTTGCATAGTAATGGAAGACGCGACAGAAGAGAACAAAGAGCCTTCATCTTTGAATGATGTACTTCCATTAATAAGCTAATCAATTTGTAAATTCAATGTTTCGTTTTTTATTCAAAGCTAAATACGAGTTAAATTAGAAATTCAACATTTATTAGCTTAAATATTTCATATTCAATCAGAATTACTAGAAATTGATTAGAAAAAATATCAATTCGTATAGTTGGATTACATTTATGAACTTGCCTTTATGATACGCTTTCCGATTGTATCGCAAAACCTCGGTGAGTTTTCGAACACTTGAAAAGGCAAGTTCTTTGCTTTATTTTGTATTTGATACCATTTTAACGTTCATCGTCTTCTCGTTAAATTCAGATATCATTTTCGTACGTGATAGAGTACGGCTTTGTTAGGATTATCAGGGAACACGGTGAAGTTAATTGAATAATAGCAGAAATGTTGAAAATCGCATTGCTTATTCTATTTTGCGCCATATCAGGTACGTATGCAAAACCATAATATATTACTATAATTTTAATGCAAATGGCAGATGGTGCATGAGAAGTTCATGACGTAGCAATATATAAGTAATTTTCCGTTTAGAAATTAAAGGAGATTTTTGAAACTTTGGTGTGTTCATGCTTAGCGAATGTGATCACTGGTTTCTGTCTTTTTTTTTTTTTTTTTTTATTATTATTATTATTTTCAACATAAAGAGTTGAAAACATATTGAACTGAAGCACTTTTTGTTTCTGACAATCGGTAAAAAAAAGATTAGAAGAAAAAAAGACGAAAGCTTCATTTGTATGATGTTTATGAAAGATAGAATCAGATTTCTTACGAAATCAATAAGAATAAAGCATTTATATTCGAGCAACTAAATTTAATCTCAGTCCATCGTATTAGTTAAAGAATTTGAAAGTTACATTAAGCCATTAATACGATAAAACATCCGTTTGCAATTGCAAGCAAGCGAAATACAATTCCTATTCTAAGATTACTCTTTATTTAAAAATGTTTCGATCGATACTCTTAATTAACCGTTTTGTTACTGTTAATGTTTCATTGTAAGGATAAAAATGTAACATTTCAAAGATAAGTTTCAAATTTTGCATACTTTTTAAAGAACGTGTACACATTTCATTTAATTACTTCAATTATTCCTGTAGTTTCTCGAATCTAAATCTTATTACTTTGCTTGTTGCAATACGATAGTCTATAAATTAACACATATATATTATATCATCTTGTAAATTTCTAATCTTTTTGTATTCTAAAAACAATTTTAATGATAATTGGATTTCTAACATATTATATCATAACAGCAAAAAAGAAATTTCATATGTAGATACTTTTATGCAGATAGATACATAATCTACAGCATAACATATATATTACATAAGATATCAGAAAGAAAATGGATGAAGTTATAACATTGATATTTATATTTGCAATTATTCATATTTTTTTTACATGTAGCAGAATGGATTATATATATAAATTATAATATGTATAATATAAATATAATATATATAAAATTTATTAATTTATTAATTATTTACAATAAACACTTCATAATATGCATTTTGTTTAATATTCTAATATAAAAATAAAAAATCTCTTTCATAATAAAAATATGAAGTATGTGCGGATTGAAAATCAATCGAAATTGGTATTTGATATGATAGGCGGATTTTTATCACAAAAAAATATAGAAATATCTTAAACTTTATTAAACAAAAAAATTTTTATCATACAAAGATATAGATGTATCTTGAACATTAATAAACGAAACTACGCGAGATAACATGTTTACCGCGAAATAATCAACGTATGCTATTTAATGTGCTAACGAATGTACTGAACACTCGTAAATGTAGAAAGAATAAAGACACAAACCATAGATAGAAAGTGACAACAAAAAATTCTGATAAGAAATACATATATTTTCCACTATTCGACGATATTTTACAAACATGTTTGTGTATATATCGTGATTTTATATCATATTCAAAGATTAATTATAAAATATTATATTATTTAAATTTTAATATTTTATAGATTATGGTATAAGCGGACAGTCTAATGATGAGATACAGGTATCAATTAAACCTATGGATGCAACAAAAATTAAAGAATTAAAACCTGTAATTTCAAATTCAAATTTTACTTCAAATGAAACAGCTTCACAAACACAAGAAGCTTCAAAAAATTCAAATGTAACAGTTTCTAATGTAGCAGCACTAAAACCACAAACAGAAACTGTTGCGTCAAGTACAATTACTATTAAAAATGAAGATTCTTTTACGCCAAATACTCGAAATATTGAAAATACATCTGCAAATACTCTCATCAATCAAAGTTCGTCCAAAGATGTTGAAAATGTTCTTGAGAAAGATTTAAATAAATCTATTCTAATTAAACCTTCTGTTAAACCTGTACCTTTATCAACTCCAATTATTTTCCAATCTATTACTATAGCACCAATTGATTCTGTACCAGTTCCAAAACCTGGAAAGTGGATACTTAATCAAACCGGTGAAATTTGTATTATTATTAGTATGGCTGTACAGTTTAACATTTCTGATGTTTCTAAACAAGATAACCAGGTTTGTATAATTTCAAAAATGTTAAGAAAGAGTTAAGTTTTCCAATTTTAAACTTTTATTAAAGACTAACTGTTATGTTTTTAACTGTTATGTTTCAGACAATATACAAAGTATTCAACCTGCCTGATAAAAATAATATGACTAAAGTATCTGGCTCATGTGGACATTTAGAGCAAAATATAACTTTGCAATGGAAAGAGACTGCAAATGTAACAAATAACTTTGTTCTTCACTTTATCAAAAATAATACCACAAAACAATATTCTTTACATCTTTTAGAACTCACTCTTACTGAAGGAAGTAAGAACTGTTTTATTAGAAAGTACCTCTCTCTCTTTATCAATATAAATTATTTTTTAAGATCTTTATCTGTTATGAATGTTCTATTATTAATCCGTTAAATTTATTAATTATTTTTATATTTTAATTTTTGTTACAGACAAAACTTCAATGTTTGTACACAATGCAACACTATTTTCTATTGGATTGAGTAATTCATACAGATGTTTAAAACAACAAAATTTCACTTTGAACTCAAATAAAACAGTAGGATATTTAATGATATCTGATTTACAATTCCAGGCCTTTAAAGAAGACAAAAATTTAGATTTTGGTGAAGGTAAATGATCTTCCTCAAGGTTTATACTAAATTTGTTTTTGTTTAGAAATAAATTTAAATAATTATTAATATATTTTAAATATAAGAAAATAATACTTTTATCTATTTCTGTTTAGTTAAAGATTGTAAACTGGATACACCAGATATTGTTCCAATAGCTGTGGGTTGTGCACTGGCAGGTTTGGTAATCATTGTACTGATCGCCTATCTTATAGGACGTAAGCGAAGCCAAGCACGTGGTTATCTTAGTATGTAATCTGCTTGAAGTCAGATTTTTTACTGGTCAGTTTATAATTTTTTCTTATATAAATTTTGCATTACAAGAATCAGTTATACCACAAATTTATCTAATTACTCATTGTGCTCATAGACTATAAATGAATCTATACAGTTAAAGTATAAAACTTTTTGTTCATAAAGTTACTACTAAAATTATAATGCCAAGCAGTTAATTAGTAAGATAGTTTTAAGGTATGTATAGCCGAGAATTTGCAGTTTATAAAAAGTGAAAGTTGCAATACTATGCTATATCTATGTATATCTGTACGTTTCGATGAGCGAATTATCTTCTAGAGGTTGAATCTCGTGGAAACGTTTGAGTTGGTATTGTTGGAGTAATGGTGTATCACAAGCGGCAGTATTCTTTAAATAAGTATAACAAATCTGAGGAGGCATTGTTTAATTTATTACATACAGACGTATAAAGAATTATATAATTGCCGAATATTTACAATCATTAAGTGTCTCATAAAAGATCTAATTATTTCGTTTTAGAATAAAAGAATGTAAATTTTTATTATTATTTGCATAGAGAAATTTAATAGAATACAAAATGTTAGTAAAATTTATTTGTCATCCTTATTGTTTTTTCTTGAGGAATTACTATTGGTAAATGCGAAAGACTGTGATCCCTGGTATATATATATATATTTTTTTTGTTGACAAAAATATGAAAGGGCATGGATTATATGGATTTACGTAGATAATCCTGCTTCTGCCCACCCTTTTGCATAAATGAACGTGTGAAACTAGATGAATATAGGCCGTGTATGCTACTCCAGAAGATACTGTTAAATCATTAGCCATTAGAGTTGCCTTGTCTTTTTTTAAATGAATTCCTGTTTATTCAAATAATTAGTTACCTATTAACTCTTAGAGTACGAAGCAGAATGGAGCTGAGCACTTAATATGGCCAGTGCTTATTTTAAAATAAAAATTAATATCAAATTTTAAACTTTCTCCATGATAATTGATAACAATGTGCAAATATAAAACATAAAGAAACATTCTTTTGAAAATTCAATTTATCTTAAAAACGCAAAGGAATTTGTGCGTAAGTAATAAATTGAAATAATTACAGAGTCATATATTAGTTATTAGGCCATAGTGAGTTTTCTGACAGTAGTCTAAAGGTTAAATGTGATTCATAATCGATATAATATGATGAAAATATTTACAATTGAATTATGGAAAAATTATTTTTCATATTATATGAATTAATTATGAATAAAGGATGCTAATTAATAATTTAACATGATGGCCAACAAAATTTGTATATTAATTAATATATTATCCAACTTCTATTTACGGCATAAAAATGAATTTTTATTTGAAAATTAATCTTTACCGAGTCTTTTCCAAGTTATTACTTTTATAATCTTCACGTGTCGTCTAACAGATTGTTAGATGTAAATTTTTCTAATAAATTATATTTAATATTCGGAGTATTCTGAAATTTAGGAAAAATAATTTAATTACATTGTATTGTTTTACACAATATATACATTATTATTACATGATCGATTAAGAAAAAATAAAAAAACAAACCGTAAAGAAAGTACTGTATATAGTGCATGAATTATAATAAACTTGGGATTATAAACATGTATTGTAGTTGTAAAGGTGCTTCGTTTGTTGGTAATAAAATTAAGATATTTCGAAAAATTTCATTGTTGAGTATTCTAATTTGAAAAGTTTTTATTATTTTATTATATTCATAGGATTTTTAAAAACGATACTAGATGAGCTGACTCCGTTAAAAGTGAACAAATATAAGTTATTCTCTATATATTTCGTAGTAAAATTATAGTGATCAATACTTTTTTATGGATTTGTGCATTTCATTATATAATCAGAATAATTGTGTGCGTATCTAATTGTTTAACTACCAAGGTTTAGTTTTCATTCTTGCAGCTATCGGCGCTGTAATCTGTGCTTGACGAATGGCCGATAAACACACAATATATAGTACCGAGTTAATATTAGATAAAATTTGGGAAGGTTTCGAAGTAGAAAATTTGTAAAGAACATTAAATTTAATTTTCTTTGTGATGCACGTGGTGTTCTTATAAATAGTGTACATACATTATGCTTGCAGATCTATATGTCTTTGTAAAAAAATATTACTAATTTAATGATAGTAGTAAACATACAGATATGAAAAGTGAAGCATTTTGGAAACGTCGTTTCTGTCGGACAAAATCAAAATACATGTTATTAATTGTATTTGTCGCTGGTATTGTTTTCTTCAAACATCAAATATTTTATCTTAAAGAATTGAATAGCGCGATCGTGGGTAAATTAATAACCGGCTCCGTACGAACATCTAATTACATCGTAACCGGAAAAGTACGTTCAAAATGGAACGAACCGAAATATTCTAAATTAATACAAGATAAAAATGGCCGAACTGTTTCGTTACGTGGCATACGTAACGAAGATATTACCAAGTATCTTCCTAATGCTAGAGATAAGTTTGTCTGTTTTTCTTCGAAACAAGAAATAGATTTTATTCAAATAAACGACGATTATTGTGATTGTCCATTAGATGGCAGCGATGAACCAGGTACAAATGCATGTAACAACGGTACATTTTATTGTGAAAGTTCTTCGTTAAAATTTAAAGGTATTTTTAACCGATGATTATTAACGTAAATATCGTGTCGAACAAAACAAATTTTCATATTTTTATTTCTAGGAAAAATTCCTTCCTATAAAGTCAACGACGGCTATTGTGATTGTTGCGATGGTTCAGATGAATGGGCAGAAATTTTGTTGTTATATATGCCTAATGGTGAGCAATCTTTTACATTCCAAATGTAATTGTATTTAATCAAATTCATTTTAATAAAATATTGCTATTTTAGAATCAAAAGGAATCACTTATCGCCAAACAAAATGTACATATAACTGTTAATAAAGAGCCTTCTGATCGTAAATGTTTTTCTGAAAGAAAAATAAGTTTTATGAAATTGAAGGTTATTGCTTTGTACATAGAAGATATAGGAATATAGATTTACTTTTAGGAGTACATTCCTATTTTACATATATTTGTGTATATATGTACATAACTGTAATATAAATCGGTTTTTTATTCTATATGCATAAATTTGATATTATTAATAGGAAAGCGGACTATCTATGTATTCCTTAATAATCTAGAAAAATAAAAATTAAGTTTTCTATAATAGATTGATTCTTATAAGATAGTATCTTTTTATATACATTATTATATACATTATTTTTATATACATTATTTTATACTTATTTTTATATACATTATTATATACATTATTTTTATATACATTATTTTATACTTATTTTTATATACATATTTTATATACATTATTTATCTAGTCTTTATTTTCAGTAAGAGAGTTACATCTCTCTTATAATTTTAAGTATATTGAAATGCATTATTATACTACGTGGTTTATTCTCAAAATGTACAATACGTTGTATAGGCATATTTAAACTTTGTAGCGTATTATAAAAACAAGATTCTTCCATAGAGATCCAAGGTCGAGAAGTATCCTGAATTTGATATGGTGTCACATGTACATGAATATCTATCTCTAAATTGTATTAAAAATGAAATTATCATTAACATTAAAATCTACTGATAGAAGATATCAAAATGGTTTATTAATATTGTCCATAAAGCATCTACTTACTCAACTTTGCTAATGATTCAAGCACGTTTCTATCTGTAACCCAGGTGTCTTTATAACCACCATGACCACCGTCTAACCACCATATACTTTTAATATTATTTATAAAATTTATCATACTAGTGTTAGGTATTGATTGTGATTGATAATATTGAAACTCGTACAGAAATTGATTTAATACTACACATCCTTTACTAAAAGCCATTAACATTAGATTTATTTTATCAGGAGTATATGTTATTGTACTCTAAAGAAAAAAAATTATATAGACATATAAGATTTAAAACAAAACCAATTGACATATTACAAGCAAATTAATAAAGAAAAGTTTACCTGATTCACATCCAATGTATTAAGTTTTGTGCAGAATGATCTAACAAGCTCTTGAAGATTTTCTAAAGCATTGAATGTAGAAGAGAATGTTGGGATTCCATAATCATTGGATTTTACAAAATTATCAAAGCAACTAAATACGTTGGATGTCCTGACATAACATAAAATAATCTAAAATATAGTACACAGAGTAATTTATATAATATAAAAAAAAACTTTTACCTGGATGGGCAGATAACAAATACATGATATTTAGGAAAGTTGTGTGATAGCATACGCGCAGTATTGTCCAAACTCCACTCCATGTATTTTTTCTTATCTACACATTTTACCATATTTTCTTGTAAATCCTAATGAGAAACAGTATGCTATGAAAACCTGTGATATCTAAAAATAAGAATAAGATAATTTTGTACATACTTGAATGTCGCCACCAAAGTAAACAAGAAATTCATGAGACTGTAAAATCATAGGACGTGCATATACCACATCATTATATCTTGCTCCAAGGCCAGATATTTGTTTCCAAATCCAAATTGTAGAAGACATTGAACTAATATACTTTTCCTGCAGCGATCTAGGACAGACAACTGATTTGAATATATTTAGATATTTGTTTTTTTTATGTAGTTTACATTTAATATAAAAAAGAAAAATATGATTTTATAAGATTATATTTAGAAAAAAAAAATTATATATGCAAAACAATAAAATTACGCGCTTGTCATCTTTTTCTTATATTTTTTAAAAGTTTTTTCTATTAATATAAATTTTGAAAAGCTAGTTCTTACGAAATCTTAAACAAACAGTCTTAAACAGACTTGTTTACAGTTTCTCGTATAATAAAATTAATGCATAAATCCATTTGCCAAAGGTGGACACATGGTAAAAGATAAGAGACTAAATTTTTGATAATTATGGCATATAAAGACAATTTATTAGTTTGCATCGAATTATCTTACCCAATACTTCATTCAGCTTTCAATATCGTAAGTAGAAATTTGTAACAATGTTACGTAAAAAACGAATAATTCTAATGATTACGTTATTAACTATTTATATCCATTATTATGTTAATTTCGGATAATGTGCTAGTAATATTTGAAATTTTCTAAGTATTTTAATTATATATTTTATTGTATGTTATTCAAAATTTATTTCACGATATGTAAACACATAGCCATGTATATATGTACATCAATTTAAAGAAACGATCAATATACTATCATCAAACATATACTTTATAATATTTATTTAAATATGTACTTTCGTCGTTCAGTTTTTCAACATTCAATTAAGCTTTTTTTTATTCCCTATAATGACAAAAATATCGATGTAAGTATACGATATTCATAAGAGAGATATTCATAAGAGAACTATATTCATTGGGCTGTAAATCTATATACACAAACATATATATGTTATGTTGTAATCCAAAGTATAGTAATTATTTGATTTCAAATTGAATACAAACTTTTGTACATTTCTTATAAGATTTATTACTCAATATAATTTTGCAGCGTGCACTATATAATGGTTATTTCATAAACTATGTTAAATTTCTTTCAAAATAGTTAAGTAATCGTTATATAAGATTTCTCTTAAAGCAAAACGTTTTTCGATAGCCAATGTAGCCGCTCCGTTAAGTTTAATCACAATAGAAATCGTTTATATTTTTATATTCTACGTTACCTTCGAGATACATGTGCTTTTACGTTTCTGCGACTTAACCTCACTTTTCTTTTACTTAATTTTCAGTTTATCGAAAATACAAATTAACTTTGAGGATGCAACATGAACTGGAAATCGAGAAGAATGTTTGGGATCCTCTTAACATTTTTCACGTCATTGACGACTACAAATACGCCGTTGTTGTATTAAATTGTCCTATATGTTTGAAATATAATTTGATGTTTCAACTTTGGGAAAAAGGTTGGTAATATTTTTATATAATAAAAAGATGTGGTAATATAAATAACATTTTGTATAATCCATAGATGATATTTTGTAGCACAAGTAACTGTCACTGTTGATGGAGGTACACACAGATGGTTAAATTATTTAAAGGAACAAGGAATAGATGTACTTAATGGAAATTATAGTAAATATGTACCAACTTTTATTACTGGTGATATGGATAGTTCTTCACCATATACAATTCACAGATTACAAGATATTGGTTCCAAAGTTATCATAACGCCTGATCAAATGTTTACAGATTATACAAAAGCTATAATGCAATTGGATCTTCATATTAAGAAAGAGAATATAAATGTAATAGAATTTATTTTAAACAACATCATTGTACTTTTAATATTGTACTTTTTCTATAAAAAGTATTTCTTTTTTACAGTTAAATGGTATATTTGTAATAGTAGAAAATTCAGGCAGATTCGATCATCTACTTGGCAATATTAATACACTTCATAAAGCTGAAAAAATTATACAAAATATACAGGTAATGTTTAATGATGGAAAAAACCTGTTGTTGAGTGGATAATAGATCATTTTCTTTAGATAATACAAGTTGCAAGTGATTCATTAACATGGCTGCTAAAGCCAGGTTTCCACAGGATAAAAATACCCGACATATTGCTTGAGAAAAATAATTGGTGTGGACTATTGCCGATAGGTGCACCTGCTAATCATGTATCGACGACTGGTTTAAAATGGAATTTAGGTATATATAATATATATAAAAAGTAATATTTATTTTGGAATATAAAATTATAATGGTTTCTAGATAATGCATCTATGCAGTTTGGTGGCTTAGTTAGTACTTCAAATACATATGACAAATATCCTGAAGTAACTATAAATACAGACGTACCTTTAATTTGGACGATGGGGATTGAACCGTTAATGAATACTATAAATGATATGGAGAATTCGTCTATGAACACTCGTCTATGAACACATTAATATTATATAGTATTCTATTATATCTTTCTTAGTTTATTTAGTTTCTTAGTATATTATTTATTTATGATAAAAAATCTAAGGAACTTGTAAAATAAGAAACATATATGGTTATAATCAAAGAACCTTCATTTATTAGTATATATAATTATTATTATTGTACATTAATAGAACAATTTGTTAAATTTGTATTTACGAAATCTAACTTATCTGTTATTTGGGGTAGGTATTAAAGAAATCTCAGAGATTTTCATATTAAAACAGATTTTGATTTTTATAAATTAAGGACCTCAAAGGTATCTTTTCGAGGATTATATGGATTTCATGTACATTCTTTGATAATTTTTTATATACCTGTTTACTTGAAAGTACAAAGTACTTATTCGTTGCAAATGTAAAATGAAATTAATTATAACAAATATTGCATGAAAAATGCAGTTAAAAATTGTCAATGTAAGGGTATATTACTTGATTACTTTAGAAAGAAATAACAAATTTAATTTTCCTTTACAAAAATATTACTTAAAAAGCTATATCTAGATTAATTATTTTTAATTATTTTCGTATTTACAGTTCCTTTTTAAAGTCTATATCACAAATTAATTATACACAGAAGAATCTCTACGCTGGAAATATAAATATTTATATTTTTCAGACAAATAAACATAAATTCTTTTAGATATCTTTCGATTATTTATGGAAAGAAAATATCGTGTATGCAGTATTTAAAATAATATGATAATGTAACGTGTGTAAATAATACATTTATCTTTTTTATCTGCAAAATATCAAAATAAAAAATATTACTTTCATGAAATTTTTTGAAATATATTTATTAATATATGTATTTAACATAACCGTTTAAAATATTAAATATTAAACATATTAAATTAAAAGATTTGAGCGATTATTTGTATATTTCAAAAAATCAAGATATATTTTTAACCAATAACATGTATTTGTATGTAATATAACAGGATAATAGATCAAAATATTTTAACTTCGTAATTAATTGTACGAATCTTCATTCAGACATATCTATGTACATAACGAGTCAACGAAGAAGGCGTGTAAACAAGTTTGAAATAAGCAAAGCTGAGTGAAATGGCAAGAGTGGGGGAGGTAGAAGAGAGTAAGGAGAGGGAAGAGGATCGTGTGATCGATGTTCTGCACGATTCGTAGCAAGGAAATACGGTTACATAAATCGTAAGATTTGGCACGGTTATTTGCATATGTAAAGAAGATAGAAAGAAAGAGAGAGAGAGGGAGAGAGAGATAATAAAAAGTTTTGGAGAAGGAGTCCGTCAAGATAGAAGAAGAATCAACAGAATTATTCGTTGAGACGATCAGCTGTCATTGTGTTTACATTTGCCGTTGTCGCGTCGTTAAGAGTCGATGAGGAGGACGCGTGAAATATATTTGCTAGTGGTGGGGATAACGGCCGTTGGGCAGTTCTCGACGATCCGTCGAACCGTTAATGTTGATTCGTACTTTTTTACTCATATTGATACGAGCGCGGGAAAACGTGGCAAACGGTGGCGAAACAATCAAGAGATATAAAAAGTCGCGTACGTTTTTGCAAATGCGTCGTCAACGTAATTGGATATTATCAGGAGGAACGAGTAAGCAGCTCTTCTTTTTCTTTTTATTTTTATAATTTTAGAGTTAAACGGATATATGAATCTGTTAAAGATGGTGTTTAAATATTATTCGTTTGATTTTTTAGAGTTATACTTTCAAATATTTTACAGTTGTTTTTCGAATTTATTTATTTCCTTTTCTTTCAAAAATAATAGAGATTATTACCGTTAGAATATCTACCGAAAAATTGTGGCGACGCAATGCGGAAGTAATCGGAAACGTTTTCAAACAAGAAAATACAAAAAAGGAAGTTAAATTATTCAATAAAGTTTTCATTTCGTTCATAGAATAATTTCAACCCGCAGAGTTCATGCCCGGTCGTTCGTCTTTAGCAGGTCTTTACATCGATATCATTTTAATATACGCGCACGCGTTTGAGATTCAGGTTTGGTTGGTTTACGAACGGTTAGAACCGGGTTGATTTCGTTATCTTTTCTATGATGCTTAAACGCGTGTATTATACGTATGTATAAATGACGAAGACGATAACCTCCCAAGCAAAGACCGGTACATCACGGTACTATTTATAGTTATGTTCAAATATTTTTAAGTTCTGAACTTTCATATCGATCAAAGATACACTTAAATGTTAAACATTTCCATTAATAGTAGAATAATATATACAACACAAATAATAGACAATTCCAAATAATAGACAAATTTGAAACTAGTTAATTGAATGTCATCGTTAATATATAGATATCATTCTTATTAAAAAAAAAAAAAAAAAAAAAAAAAAAAAAAAAAAAAAAAAGTTTACAATTAGTAAAGCGAACTTCTGATGGAACATATTGTTTCTAATAGGGAGAACATTCGTACATTTCTACGTCGTGTACTTACGGGTGTGTAAATACGCGCGTGTATTTTGGCGAACAATGTAGCCTCGGCTTAGCCCGGAGCATCCGCTATCGGAATGGTGTCAAGCGTCGAATGTAAATAGCCATATGAAAGTAAGAATAGATACGTTAGTAGCCGAATTCGTGTTTGCGTTTTGCGCAACTCTTTTGTTCTGAAAAAAGTCCTTTTTTCCTTTTTTTCTACTTTGTTCTGATTGAACATTAATACCTTCCACTGTAGATGCAACATACATACAAATATGCATATGCATATGTATGTGGGTGAGAATGTTTCATGTGTATCATGGTATCATTTATGGTATCGAAGTAACATTTTTTTTTTTCTTTTTATTAATAGTAAGATAAGTCGCTTGTTTGATATTTTAACTTTGTCGTGCCCATTTTGATTAATTTTTCGATATCCTATTCGAATGGAAAGGAGTTGCTTTCTTTTTATCATTTATCGACTATACTCTTTGATCCATTGTATCTTCATTCGTTAAATGTCTTGCTCAGATATAAATAAAAAACGTGCCACATAGAATTTTTTTCAAAATGTAAAAAGAATAGAGGAGCTTACACAAAAGATTGACCGATGTGAAAATTTTAATCAATAGTATTCGTCATAAGGAGTAGCTGTAGTTCTTTTGCGAATAAATCATAATTTTTTACCAAAATTCATGTATATGTATCACGACGGATTTTTGAGGGATGTTACATTAACAATGACGAATTTTTTGAAATGTTACATTCCTGACATAAGTATATGATTTTTTTCTAAGTCTATCTTATTTTTCGTTCAGTTCATTTGGAAGTAAACACCAACGTTCAACTTTTGTATGTTTCTTTATTCGTAATATTCTATGATAAGTTCAAAGTGAAGTAGAGGAGGAGAGAGAGAGAGAGAGAGAGAAAGAGAGAGAGAGAGAGAGAGAGAGAGAGAGAGAGAGAGAGAGAGAGAGAGAGAGAGAGAGAGAGAGAGAGAGAGAGAGAGACGATTCATGATGATATTCGCCACGGAACGACGACATTAAAGAGGATGAACATTACGGTCTATTTCGTTATACGATTCTCTCCGTTTGCTCGTTTTCATCATTCGACATTTCGCTCATAGAGCAATACGATTAAAACACTTTGATCAAGTTCTCGTATTTCCTTTTTTAGTGCATTCCTCGAATCTTCACAAAATATGTAAGACTTCTCCAAAAAAAAGAAAGGTATTAGAAAGGGAAAGACAACTTTGAATCAACGATCTTTTTTCTTAGTTTAATACTAAATTTGCTAATTAATCAAAATGAGTAATTATAATCATTTTTATACTAATGTTTAAATGAAATTTCATCGCGTGTTTGTTCAAGGCATTATAACTTAAATATGATCTAAATCATATGTATATATCATTTTATTATTGTATATAATATGTATATAATTCTATATACTATTTTATTATATATTAAATAATTTACATATAATTTTTTATTATATAAATATTCTACTATTGTATTATTCTATACATATTCTATTATATGATATCAATATGAAATAATAGAATAGATATATTAATATGATATAATAAAATTATATAAATATGATATAGTAGAATATATATATATATAATAGAATTCTATTATATAATATAGTTTAGATGATATTTAACTCACACACACATATGTACATAATAGGATTTATATAAAAGAAATCAATTTTATAAATTCCTTTTCTCTTCTTGTTTTTTCTGAAATATATATGAGATATATGTATCTTAATGTATCGGAATTATATTGTCAGTAGTTCTTTAGCGTTAATTTAATGTTATTTAAATATTTAATTTATATTTTTTATTAATTTATTCTGTAAATTTCCTTTCCTTTAAACGTCCTTTTTTTTATCACTCCCGATACGTGTTTAAGGTATTTGGCTTTGTCACGAGGTCCACGATATAAGAATAAAGTTATACAGGGTTTAACAGCTGTAAACGCTCGTACGATCACGAATGTGATTATGTAAGAACGGTATTAGAATAACGTTTTAACTTGACGTTTATTACACTAGCAAGCATTTTATCAAATGCGTTCTCACACCGATGCTAATCTGTCCAATCGGTACGTCGCGTTATTTACGAACTATGATCAAAAGCTTACAATACAGCGAATATGTATAAAAGAAATTCTTAAGAGAAAAATTCTTAAGAGTCGAGATGTATTATCTATTTAATTATATCTTTCAAATAAGGATTAATTCGAAGAGATGGATTATATGAGAAAGTCGAGACGTAATACTTCTCGAGACTAAAAAAAAAATTCCAGTTATTTTTTTCTTAAATCGTTATCCGAGTTATATATACTTTCCAAGTGCTGACTTATCAAACGACATTGAATGCAAGCTTGACGTAACGTAATATTCGAATTACGTCTTTTTTGCACCGCAAATTTAACGAAATTGTTCAATAAGACGATCTACGAATTTCTTGATTAATGATCGCTACGTTTGCATATATGCCGATTTGATAGGTCGATTGATGTTTGTATTTTTTTTAGTAACAATATTGAAATTATTTTTTTTTGTTTATTTTTTTTCTATAGTCTATATAGAGTTTTAAAAAAGCGTTTCTGGAGAAGTTGATTAGAGAGGCAAAGAAACGTCGACGATGAGTTTACACGGTAACGGTTTTAAGATTTGCCCACGGATACGCCTCACTTTTTGAAAGATTCTCCCGCGTCGAATGACGTGCGAAAGACGCAATGATAACGACAAATTTACAGTACATAGACTAATAGCGACATTAACGTTACACTTTCTTATATTTAGTACGAGAGATACCAATACTAATTGATTCTAAATCATGGAAATATGTAATTATATTTACGATGATACGTACGAATACTTGAAAGAAATAAAAGGAAAGAACGATTGATGATTTTTATTGATCTATGCATTTTCCTATCGACCATCATAAATTGATCATCATAAATGCGAGCTTAATTTCAATCGTATTGCGAAGGTAACGCATTCATTCAAGAGTAAAAGTTCGATGCTCTAGAAGATCTTTTTTAACGAAGAGAAAAGAGAGCGAAAGAGAAATAGGGAGACATACATAGAAACATCATCGACTCCTTCCTTTCTTTCTTCTTACGGTCGTTGACATTTCTATACTCATGAAGGTTCTCCTTCACGCTACATTCCATTAAGTCAGTAAACAGAGTGTAGTTTATTTGAACGCGTAGCTTTTTTCATAAGCCGAAGTCGACGAGCATGTAAATCACCTTAGCGTTGAAATCGTTTTCATCTTTTACTACGTCATACAGTCTACATTTTTTTTTTATAGGTATTTAAGTCGACTAGTTAAGCCAGAAGGGACTATTCTCTCATTTTGTTTATTTTCATCTTCTGCTTGACGATCTAACGATCGTAACAAATTTATTTTTATTTTCGCAGAAGTTTCTTCAGTTAGAAATCATTTTGATAAATCTTCATAGTTAGTATGTAATCTCATTAAGTAAAGATAATAATATCGTAAGCAAAAAAGAGAGAAATTTTTTTAACGATTTTGATGTCAAGAATTTATCTTATCCTGCGAGAAGGAATTGTTTTAATTTATTTGTTGATCTTTTTTCTTCGCTGTTTCATTTCAAATAATAAAATGAGTTTTTTTAAAGAATATATATATATATATATATATATATATATAACGCTATATATATAAAGGCTTTTACTTATTGTTTTTACACATACGATGATTATATTTGCCATGAGCAACTGAAGTTTTTATTTGCAGTTAGGAACCTTATTTACTTCCATTCGATCAACGCTCATCATTACTTCGTCTACGGGTTTGATTAAAGGTTAATACTTTTGTTCAGAGTTTCGAGGATTTCCGTAACTTTTCTTTAAATCTTGTAAAATTTGTAGGGTTAATCAATAACTTCTTCAAGTGATTTTTGCAATATCGTTAACAATTATTTAACAAATTGACTACCGTGAGGATCACCGGTAAACGGCATTCAATTTACCAGCAACGTCGTGGGATCATTGATGACTGATGTCATAACAAAACAATAAAATTATGATTTTTTATATAAATTCTATTATATATATATGACTTAAATATGATATAAATTATTTACTAGTATTATACACTAGAATTCTTTTATATATATATATATATATATATATATTTTTTTTTTTGCATTATATCATATTTATGTAATTCTATTTAAAACATATAATATAATAAAATATGTATATAAAATAACGTTATAATATCATAGAATTTAGTATCAGAGAGAGTATTGTTAAAATTTAAAATCTTATGAGCTCATAGTTTCCCTATAATTTCTACTATTTTCGTTCCATCCGGATGAAATTGTGTTTAGTTGTTCATTATGTTCCGATGAAATGTATAGTATTACTTAATTTGCGAAAATATTAGTTATTAAACAGGTTTTAAATGACTTAATGGCTCGCTATCAAATGACATTTGTACTATACACTATATGTGCTATATCTAATATAAAATATAAAATAACATTAAAATCTAATCTAATTTAATATAAAATAAAAATAAAATATAAAAAAGAAACAAAATTTAAATTACAATTTAAAAGTAACACATATACAATTCAGCTTTGTTTTAGCTACATCATGTTTAATAGAAGAATATACTAATATAATAGAATTATGTAGATATTATGAGAATAAATTTATGTAAATTACTTAGAATATAATAGAATAATATATATATATAATAAAATTTAGTATTAATAAGGGCTAAAGTATATAACAAAATTATCTAAATATTATGAGAAAAATATACATATTATATATAGGATCGCCTTTATATTTTTGGAGATCTTAGGTACAATATATTATGAGTCCTCAAAAGAGGCCTGTTTCAATTAACCAAGTTCATAAGCATATTTTTTTTTAGTTTTTTTCTTCTGGTTTTAGTTTTAGCAAATATACTGAATGTTTTTTATATTATTGTTTGTGAGAATAAAGATTTAAAATTATGGCCTCATGCAAAGTGAGACTGGAGCTTACACTTAATATGCTTTATGATTATGTGGCCCTGATTATATATGCAATAATAGAATGATATATACCTATATATGATTTATATCAAATTTAAGTCATAATGCTTTCACATGCGATAAAATTTCAAGTAAATATTTTTATTAAAAAGGTTATTGTAAGCAATCACTGTTGACTGATTGTTAAATCTATCATTAAAAATGTGATCAGTCGATAAAGAAGATTTTTTGATTTTTTTTCATTATAATTATATCATTTAATAAGAATAATGTAAAAACAAAGAATAAGAACGCATGCACGCACGCACATATACACGTTTTTTATTTCGTATTTCGTAGTTGTTTATTACATCCAAACAAGAAAACATTTTATAATTTCTAAAAAATTATCGTCGTGAGTAACGTTTCGCTTCAATGAGTTATCAATAATTTTTTGAATTTAACATGGTTCCGTAATTTTCCATACGACTATTACTAGTAATAGTAAGGAAACTCGTAGTATGACGAAAGAAATTACATCAATCGTGGCCTATTGGAATTATTTAAGTACACATCAGGCTTTGCTAATATCGTCTGAATCGACATGAATGCACTCACACACATACGCGTATACGTAAATATATAGGGTGGGCTGAAAAGTAATATTACAAATTGTTTTCATTGAAAGTTTTTATACTAGAACTACCAAGCACATAAAAATGACGGATTTTAGATTTCTTGTTTTATAATTTACTAAAATTATAATCATTATAAATATATAATAGCTGAAATCTAGTATCCTTCATTTATTATGGTAAAATATATCAATTAAATCGACACAAACATATTCACATTACACGTATACATATATACGTAAATATATAGAGTGGACTGAAATTTGTAATTACTACCATTATAATCATGACAAACATGTAAATATAATATATAACATCTTTTCTTTTATTTATTATCATAAAATTAAATAAATTAAAAATCATGATTAATAAACTATTTTTTTTTAAGTATCTATCAAATTATTGGATATGATCCAAATAAATCGGTAATTTTAATGTTAATTGAATAAAAAGAAACATTTGATTGGAGTAAAGTGAATGGTTCAAGTAGAAAACCGAAAGATCATATAGTAGGACAGTTTCTATTTTTTTACTTCGATCTTTCACTTTCAATGATAAAAAGTCATCGTTTTTACGGGCACAATGATGTCAAAAGGTTAATAGTAAACTCACCTTTCGATACGGATCCATGAAAAACGGTTCCACGTTTATTTTTTTACCGTAGAAACACTTTCCGCAAAATTATCTTATTTTGTAACAATAAATAAAAAATATATTTCTTCTCTGAAGTCGCGGTTGATTTCAGTTTCACACTGCGCTCCTTTGTTCGCTTTACTCTACAGTTAGAGATTTGAGCATTATCGGCTTGTTATTTTGATAAAGGAGGAGGGCAGCACGAATAGTAAAAGTCAATTGTCGGTAAAGTCAATTTCTTTGATATCCTCAACTAATTGCATATACTAAATGAGTTGTCTATAATTAGATGTATTTATGTAATAATGTGAATTTGCATTTTCATTTGAACGGAGAAAGTTGAATCGAGAAGCATGGATAAAAGATACATATGACATTTATATTATGTATATATGTATATATGTATATATGTATACATGTATACATACACAAAACATATTCTTGTTTTAAAGACCTAACCTCATTTAAGAACGTCGATGATCTCGGATGTCTAAGCGGACACTTCGCGGTTTCCTTTATCGTACATGGACATATATACGTATGGTTATTAAGGTCACTCAAACGTTGATTGCGGTCCAAGGTTCTAACTACTTAGCCATTTTGTACGAGTACTCGACGTAGGTCGTTTGCCAATGGCAAGTTTGTTCAATATGGATATAGTCGAAAGATAAGTTCAGGGAGATTTTATTAAACTATGAAATTATCTGTATTTTTCCATAAATTATTATAATATTTATAAAAAATTTGAAATTCATGTTGCACGATACGAATGATTAAACGGTGTGTAAGATGTTAATGTAAAGATAATGTTGAATGATAAGATAATTTAATAATGAAATATTAAAAAGAGGATGATCAGACAAGTGGCTCGACCAATTAGGTGGTTTTCATGAAGACACAATTCATTTATTCATTCAACGAAGACATTCTTGCAAAAAAATTTCTCGCGATAATAAATGTAATGAATCGTTAAGATCATTAAAAATATTTTATCTAGAAAATACATTTTATTCTTATAATATTGTCTCTTATATTTTATTTCTACCTTAAATAATTTCATTTTTGTTTTTTTTTATGTAAAAAATGAATTATGAATTGTAAAATATTATGAATTTACTATTATGAACTTGAAAATTTTCCTTTAAATTTAATTATACAGATTCCTACTATTCAAATAAAGCGGTTAAGCGTGTAAATAAGTGTGTTTCATCTTTCGACTTTAGTTTTATACATATGAAGTGATAACTATGCGAGCCGCGTTTATTTGAATGTAGCTAGTGGACAATGCGAAAAACTATAAATCAGATTTGCTCTCAGTGGCCCACTTTCGTCCTTGCGTGCACTATTCTTTGACGTGCATTTAGAGTTTAACGTTACACAATCTGTGCTTATTGTGCAAGTGTAACATATTTACTGCCCGAAAAACACTTTTAACAAACACACATGAAGAAAAGAAACTAATACAACTGGCGTATTGCATACAGAAAAGTCTTAATTAATTGTTCGCAGATGTGAAAAAGGAGTGGTGGTTTTAAAGGGTAATAGAGAGATCCCTCCTTTTATTATTTAAATATATTTAATCATATTGATTGAGCCTTTTTCTTCTCTTCGTTTTTTAATTTTTAATTGCTTGTCAAAAATAATAAAATATATTTAAAATTCAAAACGAGATTTTTTTGGAGATAAACTTTATCTTTTATAAATGAGAACTAGAATTTCTAAGCCTCTTGTAATGTAAAGAGGCTTCCAAAAATTGCATCTCACATTATATTGCGGATGCATGTTATTAAAATAATGGGTTATAGCAACAGTACCCTCACTAAACGATCATTGAATACTTTGCTCCCCAAAGACAAGGATAAAGAAGTTTCTTTGAGCAATGCCTACATATGTATTATCAATGAAGGTTCACTTATGAGAAAGCAACTGCCATCTTGTGATACTTTTGTGTACCATTAGAGATACGACGCGGGAGATACATTTTAAAACTTAACGACGTTATTAGTTTGATTACTTTCGAAAGCAAATGTTCGGTTTAGAAATTTATCTGAAATGCTACCTGTAAAATATTTTCTTTTCAATTAAATCGAATTACGCGTATGGTAAAATATTACATACATCATATATACTATTGCAATATGAATGTGGGTCACGAGATACGTCGCTTTGTGTTTACTTTATCTTCAACGTGAATTCATTTCTTTATTTTCTCCATTCGAGAGATTTCTGTTTTTTCCTTGAATTTGTATTATTTTTAAAGCGACTAATACATGTGTACACACATACAAATACATACACATACACATACACATCTGATCGTATTATTTCTTCATTAAAAATGAATTTCTTTCTCATTTTAAAAATCTTTCGATCACCTTGTAGATTCATCTTACTCGGAAGAAGTAACTCGAATATATATGCCATGATGATTTATTTGTCTGGATAATAAAAAATTGATTTAGAGTGTAGCAAAAGTGTATAGAACACGAAGATAACTGTGTTGTGTCGTTATAGCTTTTTTCTTATCTATACATACGTGTTATGTTATTGCTGTGAGACGAAGAAAAGTAGAAAAACAAAGAATACAATCGTTGGTAATCGTAGAGATTATCTGTGAAGCATGCCTAATGTGGATAACATCTTGCTTATAATTATTTTATCGATGATATTGTATTCCATATAAGTACATATATCAGGTAAATCATGTGATGGAAGAAGGTAGGAATCGATCATAATCTATGATGTACATTTAGTGAAAGTTATTTTTTTATTTTCAAGTTGTATGAGTGTTAATAAACATTCAACTCAAGTTGTCGCATTAATCATTCTTTCATCTTTGATTTAAGATTAATTCAATTTTCAAAAAATCCATACGTAAAGTGAATAAGAAAAAATCGATAATCACGTATCGTACTCTATCAGAAAAGAAAAACAGCTTATTAAAGAAGGCGGTGGCTATCTATCCGTTTGTTGGACTATGGAGGTTCATCACGAGGTCTCTCTCTTTCTCTCTGTCCACACCCCAACTCTTCCCTCCCTACTCCGCCCCTCCTTCATTTCACCTCACTTCACCTCACCTCCACCACTACTCTTTTCCCTCTCTTTGATGTAGGAGGTGGGATTTATTCGAGCGTAGTGTTGAATCTAGTCAAATCACTCGTTGCTCAGTGTTGCACCTGCCGGATCGTTCGAAACTTTAACTTCGTTCCCTTTCGTCGTTAATCTACGTCTTCCTTGATCTTCTATTCCTTAGTGTTCGTCTTTGGTGTTTCTTTTCAAGGTTTGTTAAACAAAAAAACAAAAATAAATAAAAGTTAAGAAAAATATTGTTCTTAGAGATCTACATTGAGTATGGATAATTCTATGTTAAATTCGTTCGAAAGAAATTATTCTTTTTCTTCTTTATTTCAAAATAATTACTTAGAATCGTCTACATGCATACTCGAAATACCCATTTATATATTACGTAGCTCTATGTAATAAATTGAACATGGATTGTACAATAAGAGTACTCACTTGTTTTTACTAACTAACCATTGCCTTTTAGAATTCGATCGTGATGACATTGAAAAGATTTTAATATTTGCTTAGATTCGCACGTACTGCTGATTGTATGGATAATCTATAAAAACAATTATGAAAAATTATAAAAGATTAAAAAAAATAACTTAAATTTTCAATTCGTTTTTTTATTTCTTAATCAATCGATCATAACATTGTCACTACTGGTTCTTCTAATTACATGTTCTCAGATTTATCGTCGCTGCTCATCAACGTCTAAATCATCAGGAGATAAAGTATATTCAAATAATACAATTATAATAACGCATTTTTCCCTTCATTTCAGATTGTCTTTCATTGCTAAAGAGCTGCGGTACATTTCAAATTATATAAATGATAAAATAATAATCAACAACCAAAATATCGTTTCATAAACTTATAAAGAGAGAAATGATCGATCATTGTCACCAAATCGACTTCGCTGGCTAAACTTTCCTGGAAAATTATTATTAAAGCAAGGGTGAATAAATGATGCTAAACAAAAGAAAAGATGAACAAGATATTCATTTTATTCTTCTTTTATCTTTAACTTATTGTTTATATTTTAAAGTGATTGAGATTAGAATCTGAAATGTCGATCAATTAATTATTAATAATTTTTACTCATTAATAATAATACTGATGATGATGATGCTATTAATGATAATAACAATAATAATAATCTTAAAAGCATTTACTATAGTTCGACCATTTCTGTAATCATATCATCTTATATAACTATATAATAATAATAATAATAATAATAATAATAATAATAATAATAATAATAATAATAATAATAATAATAATAATAATAATAATAATAATAATAATAATAATAATAATAATAATAATAATAATAATAATAATAATAATAATAATAATAATAATAATAATAATAATAATAATAATAATAATAATAATAATAAAAATAATAATAATAATAATAATAATAATAATAATGAAGATGATGATGATGATGATGATGATGATGATGATGATGATGATGATGATGATGATGAAGATAAACATGTAATGTATCTATAGTTCGGTTAGTTTTGAAATAATATCAATAATATTCTTTTCTAAACTTGGTTGATACTTGTTATGAAAAAAAACTACGTAAATAGGTGTAAAATTAAATTTTTTTTATATATAATAATACTGATACTAATAAAGATCTTCGTCGTTGTCATAATGTCCATCTAAGCTAAGCTAATAAGGTTTATTTATTACCATCTATCGTACGTTCACGCAATACTATTTTTCTTTTCCGAAGCGCATGCGTGGCTGCACCCTCTAGCAGTTAAAATCTATCGTCGGATAAATTCATGATCAAAGACCGTCTCGCAGGAGTGTCGCTTTGGTACTCAGTTAACGTGGACACGCGTTACGGTTATTTCATTTAATTTAATGAGAATTTTCTAAATTTCTAAATAATTACGATCATTATTGAATAAAATCCGATCGAAGATAGATTATATCGTATTTTTCTATCTTTTTTCTTTTTTTGCTCTTTTCTTTATTATTCATACGTGATTACCAATTGAATCACGAACGGATTGTGATTCTTCAAGTGTTAATTATCTTGACTATGTTAGATAAAGATACGCCCGTTTGCAGTTCGATAAAGGTCATAAAATTGTTTTTTTATTTGTTTTTTTTAGGTTGATATTGAATTTACCTTTTTTCTTTTTTCTTTCTTTTTGAGAAATTTTGCATTTATTTTTTGAGAAATCTTTTTAAAGTTTTTGATATTGTTTTTCATCGTCAAACGAGATTAATTTGTCATTTATTCGATAATCGAAAGGCAAAATGATTTAAATTATTTTTTATTTGTTATTTCTTTATTTATTTACAGAAATTAAAGAAAATGATGGAAATATTGTGTCTCCATTATTTTGTTCAACCTCTGTATTTTTCCGTTTGTATTATGGACTTGAGATTTTTTTGTTTCCTTTTTTTGTTTGTGTAATCGATTGTATTCCATTTATTTTCGTTGTCGAACAAATTTCACTTTTCGCTCGTTTGACAATCGAAAGACTAAATTACTTTAGTCGTTGTCTCTTTATCTATTTATTTATCTATATTTCCCTTCCCTGCTCATGCTTTACTTCGTTTTCTTTCCTTTTATATCTTATGATCTTATCGAATGGTTTCGCGCGATTCGTAGGATTGATTTATTGTCAGAGAAGAAAGTCACGTGAAAATTGTTCGTTTTCTAGCTCTCATCGTTATCTCTATTGTGCGCTCCCGTCTTTTATGAATGTTCTTTTTTTTCTCGCTCTTTTATTATTTTCACTTACGTTACATTACGTTACACAGTCGAGTTACGTGGATTTTTAAACGAGTAGTTTTCTTCTTATCAGCAATGAGAGAAGTTTAGTTTTTATCTTTCTTTGGTATTTAGTCTATTGTTTTTTATATTTTCCACAATTTTATGCTCTTTTTTTATGTGTTTATGCTCTTGCTACTCATCTCACGTTTGAAAATGTTACAAGTTATACGATAAAGGATGTTTTTTCATAGAATAAATGTAAACTTTCAATACAACGAATTCGTTTTTCAAGTTTTAATAACTTGAATTGTTCATTCTATACAACGAATAGATCAAAATCATATATTTTTCTATTATTTTTATTTTCGTGACCGAATTTGTTTGAAAAAAAGAATTGAGTTTTTTACAGGAAACCAGGATATAGAAATTGAAATTGTTTATCTCATACTATATAACACTTACGTAAATGCGAATAAGCCGTTTGTAGAGATCTTATCTTACAGACATCTCTATATTTTTTCTTTGCCTACTCAACCATAATAACTCGTCTCGTTAATGTATACATCGCGACAACTTCGGGAGCATGTTCGAGAGAGAAGTAATTTTTCTCTATATTTTTTTTTCTTTTTTATCTACACTCTTGTACACGTTCTTCTAATTTTTATATACACCTACATATGAATTCTATATACTCTTTATATATATATATATATATATATATATATATATATATATATATATATATATATATATATATATATATACATATATCTGTCTTTTGAAGAAATTCTTAGGAAAAAATGTTTGAAGATATTTATTTTTTAAACGCGATCAAGGTGAAAATCGAGGTTGCTTCATGGTACTTATCTTATATCAATGTTTGAACGAGATCATAAGAACACCAATTATGGCTGCGATACAGCGATATTTAAATTTCTTTGTTCACATCATTGACGATCGAGTAAATTGAGTTTTATAGATCATCAGTGAGATACAAATTTGTCTTATTAATTTTTTTTCCTTTTTGTAGAAATTTTAATTTACAAAAGAATTGAAAAAAGCAATTTCTCTTCAAGTTATTATATATTTCTAGGGTAAATCAAATCGCCTTCAAGATGGGGGCAATGTTCAGGAGCGAAGAAATGGCCCTTTGCCAGTTATTTATCCAACCTGAGACTGCCTATCTTTCCGTTTCTGAACTTGGAGAAACTGGTACGGTGCAGTTTCGTGATGTAAGTTCAATCGCATGGAAGGTTTTTTTTAAAATCATCTTTTATTTTTCTAAATATGGTTTAATCGTTAATTATCAAGAATCTGTCCATTAAATGCCAATTCTTATCGACTTTCTCGTAGCTAAATGGAGATCAGAACTATTTTCAACGAAAATTCGTTAATGAAGTTCGAAGATGCGATGAACTCGAACGGAAACTTCGATATATCGAAGCGGAAGTGAGAAAGGATGATGTACCTATACCCGATAATTTATCAGAGTTACCACGCGCACCTAATCCACGTGAGATCATAGATCTCGAGGTTAGTATATTTTCATTTTTTGTTCTTCTTTTTTTTTTTCATCCTCTTTGACATCAACGTAAGATGAAGAATCGTTGTGATTTCAGGCGCATCTCGAGAAAACGGAGAACGACATACTAGAGCTGAGCCACAACGCGGTCAATCTGAAAAGCAACTATCTCGAGCTGACGGAATTATGGCACGTCCTCGAGAAGACGCAAGTATTTTTCACGGAGGTACCTAAAAGTAGTTCAGCAGCTTTTCCTCTCATAGCGCCATCCTTCTTCGTGTAATCGATGTTACCGTTTTGTCGAAGAATCAAGAGTCGTTTCTTCTTCTTCTATATCAACAGGAAGAGGCCAACGACTCGATTACTAGGGCTCTGATTAACGAGGAAGCACAGAATCCGAGTGCGTCGAGTCGAGGTCGACTCGAGTAAGTTCTCTCATATTATCTAATTATTTCATTGATTATGTTAAATTTTCTATTACGACTGATAATGATATAATTTCATTTATTTTAGATTCGTTGCTGGAGTGATTAACCGTGAGCGAGTACCTACCTTCGAGAGAATGCTTTGGAGAATATCTCGTGGAAATGTATTCCTTCGTCAAGCCGAACTCGAGAAGCCATTGGAGGATCCGGCTACTGTTAGTGTCATTTTCTTTCTTCTTTTCATTGCAAAATCGAAACGTTCGATATTTATTGTCCTCGTGTATAATTTTTTTTTGGTTCTTTTGTGTAATACAGACTTATTTATTTATTCTTTAATTGGTCCTTATATACCAGTAATATGTACATGTTAAAGTTAATGTATTTTACCTTTTTTTGATTTTTCTTTAGGGCAACAAAATCTATAAAACAGTTTTCGTCGCATTTTTCCAAGGTGAACAATTGAAAAGTCGTATCAAGAAGGTCTGCACTGGATTTCATGCTTCCCTCTATCCTTGTCCAAGTAGTCACGCTGAACGTCAAGAAATGGCCAAAGACGTGCGAATAAGATTGGAGGATCTTAACTTGGTGAGAACCTACATCGGAATATCGAGCTTACTCGATCCATTTCCTGATTATGAATATTATATCTTCCTCTTAGCATGTTTTTCTCTCCCTATCTCTCATTTGTCTGCAGGTTCTAAATCAAACTCAAGATCATCGACAACGTGTCTTACATAGCGTAGCTAAAGAGCTTCTCAATTGGAGCATCATGGTTCGTAAAATGAAAGCTATTTATCACACAATGAATCTCTTCAACATGGACGTTTCGAAGAAATGTTTGATAGGAGAGTGTTGGGTACCCGTTGCCGATCTTAGAATCGTACAGACTTGTTTAACGGAAGGATCGGTAGGTTTTTCTTACATCGATCTACATCTTGGAAAATTGATTTTGAAAAATATATTAAGAGTTTTTATATTTTAATATCAATTTTTCAAACTGTTCGAAATGGCCCATATATAGTATTAGAATTTGTTATATTTATTTATTTATATCAGAATATTTCAACAGCACATTCAAGGGGTTGCGTCGATAAAAATAGTTTATAACACTTTACGTGGGCCACCTTTATTTTTAGATCACCAACTCGTATATAACAGTTATTTTTCATTAGAAGCTCTGTGGAAGTTCAATACCGTCTTTCCTCAACGTAATTCAAACGGATGAGGATCCTCCAACGTTTAATAGGACAAATAAGTTCACTAGAGGTTTCCAGAATTTAATAGATGCTTACGGTA